GTCCGATTGCCGTGCTCCAGAGGTATGCTGGACAGGACGGAAATAGCCTTACCCTCTCCAAAACAGAGTTCCTAAAATTCATGAATACAGAACTGGCTGCCTTCACAAAGAATCAGAAAGACCCTGGTGTCCTTGACCGCATGATGAAGAAACTGGATCTCAACTCTGATGGGAAGCTAGATTTCCAAGAATTTCTTTATCTTATTGGGGGCATTGCTCTGGCCTGCCGTAAATCTTTCATGAAGCACGTTCACTAGCAAACCTGAAGCACCATTGAAACTGACCAACAAACTCAGCCCCTTCCCTCCAAGATCCCCCCACCCCATGACTGTAGATCACACCCTGATCTAGCCCACCAACCACCCCATGCAGGCCAGCCCTATTCTATTTTTTTAAAAACAAAACAAACAAAAAGAGCATGCATTAGGCATTCTGAGACCTTCAAATTGCTGAGGACATTTAAAAATAGCTTAATACTTCTGACTCTCAATTTCATGTGTAAAGAATTTGACTAAATCAATGGCTCTTTGTTGTTATGTGTCATCAAGTCACTTACAACACACAGTGACTATGTACAACAGCTCTGAACCCTGCTCTATCCTGAGCCAATCTTGTCTCTGACACACCTAACCCATTACCCTAGTCAATCCATCTCATCCAGGGTCTTCCTCTCTTGTGCTGTCCCTCCACTCTTCCAAGCATGTTTCTCTCCAAGGACTGATCCCTCCTGGCACCATGCCCAAACTATGTCAGACAGAGCTTCAAAATCCTTGCCTCCAAGGAGCAGCTTAGGTTCACCCTTTCTAGGATGAACTTGTTTGTTCTCCTGGCAGTCCATGGTGTATTCAATACTCTTCTCCAACACCACAGCTCAAAGGCATCAATTCTTCTGTCATCCCTAGATGGCTCTTAACCTTCCTAAAATCATGGCTTTTATTGGAAATTATATCAAAGTTAAGCCTATTCTACTAAAAAAAGTCTTTGTGTACAAACTACATTTCACATGAAATGTCAAAAACCTTAAGGTTTATCCTGAATATAAGTTTAAGAATCTCTGAGCCAGGTAATTAATAGAAGAGGCTCCCAATGCTAAGAATTCAGATTTCATCCGATTTTAACTTGTCATGTACTCCTAGAATTTTCAGTCTATTGCTGCCTCAAAATACAATGGCAACATTCTGTTTCTTAATTAATATCTTTTTAAAAATTTAACTTAATTCTTAAATTAGTATCTTTAAAGTATTTAAATGCTTAAAATATTTTGGGCATTTAAATGTCAAAATTTAAATATATTCAAAGTATTTAAATATTTTAGGTTTAAATAAAAATTTAAATTAATTAAAGTTAAAAAGTAAGTATTTAAATAATCAAAATTTAAATATTGGTAGCTATCTTTTGTTGTTTTTATATGCTGTCCAGTCAACTCTGACTCACTGATCCTAACAGATCTAAACTTTACCCAATTCGGTACCATCCCCATAATCTCTACTGTGCTCAAGTCCAGTGTTGAAGTCACTGTGTCAATCCATCTCATTGAATGGCTTCCTCTCCTTCTGCCCTTCCATCTTTCCATGAATAATATAATTTTCCAGGGACTGGCTCCAAGTCTCACCATTCTTGCTTTTAAGGAGTACTCTAGTTACAATTCTTCCAAAAGATGTTTGCTTTTCTGGAGTCCCTGGTATATTCAAAACTCTTTGCTAACACCATAATTCAAAGATATCAATTCTGACTTTGTCTTCCTTATTTATCCAACTTTCAGATGTATGTGAAGTAAACGAAAATACATGACTTGGATCAGGTACATCTCAGTCTTTAAACTGATACCCTTGTTCATCGAGACCTTAAAGAGGTCTCTGACAAGAGATTTTCCCAATGTGATACATCTCTTAACTTCTTGGCTACTGCTTCTATGGCTGTTGATTGGAGATCCTAGGAAAACAAAATCTCTGACAGCTACTATCTTTTTTTCTATTTATCATGATGTTGCTTATTGGTCTAGTTGTGAAGATTTTTGTTTTCTTTATGCTGAGATGTAATCCATACTGAAGGCTGCAGTCTTTGAGATTCTTTAGCAAGTGTTTAAAATCCTCTTTACTTTCTGTGACCAAGGTTATGTCATCTGCATAAGGCAGGCTACTGTTGAGTCTCCCTCCAAACCTGATCAAGTTCTTTATGTAGTCAGTTTCTCGGATGATTTGCTCAGCATACAGACTGAATAGGCATGATGAAAGGCTACAACCCTGAGGCATACTCTTCCTAATTTTAAACCATCTCTCATCTGTCTTTCTATCTATCTATCCATCATATATCCCTAGGAAATAAGGTGATGAACTAGGGAATGTGTCTCCTTCTTTGTTCCTTTTAAGCAAGAAAAAAAAGGTACATCAAAAGAGACATGTCATTAGCTGATGACCCTGTTGTTGCTGTTGAGTGCTGTCAAGTTGAGCATGACTCATAGCGACTCTGTGAACAAAAGACCTAACGCCTTTCCATAACTATCGTTTCTCCAAGATCATACATAGAGTTTCCAGAGGCATGTGGTTTAGGAAGTGAATGCCACTTTTGCTTCCAAACCTGTCTTACAACTGTGAGCTCCACCAAACATTGCCCACAACGGGAAATCATTATGGTATTTGATACGCTAATGACACAAGGTTCAGCATCACAGCAAACCTAGGTTACTTCATACAGCACATTGACAAAGAGTGATGTGGAAAGTGGAAGAGTGTTCATCCAGATATAATAACACTAGTCTCACTTAGCAGTGGTTAAGTATCACTGAGTCGAATATGACTCGTGTAAGCTTTGCACACAAGACTAGAACTCTGTTCTATAATGAACATCATTTCTACTTAACATACATTCAAAACACATTTGTTAAGTGAGTAAACGAAGTCGAGACTCTGATATTGACTGCTTGACTTAGCAAATGACTTTTTTGAGTCTTAGTTTTTTAATCTTTAAAATTAGAATAATCATCCCTGCCTGCACAGGGTCACAGTGAAGCTCAACAATGCAAAAGACACTTAGGTAATGGGTGGGGTGGGCAGAATAGCAATAGTAGTATTTTCTATAACAACTGTCTCCCTATATGTCATTCACACTCTCACCCTTTAAATTTTAGCTTCCACATCACTCTCTCCATCCAACTGTTAGGGGACAGAGGAAGAGCCCTCTTCCCCTAAACAAGAGGGTGTGAACTCTTGTATCTTGCAAATGAGTGGCAGTAATTAAGACATAGTAAATTACTTCTACCAACTTTTCCTAGAGGCTGTTCGAAAAAAAAAATGAGGCATAGTTTCCAATGTTCTACACCCATTTGTAAAATCCAGTCAGCTTGCAAATAATTCTTTTTTTCCTCATTTAAAGCTAATTTAAATTAACTTAAGGAAGGGAAGGAAAGGAAAATAATGGAAAGGAGAGTGGAAGGAAAAGAGTGGCTATGAGGAACAGAGGCTCAGGATTGGAAAAACGTTGGAGGCCTACTAAATCTGGGCCTTTGGTCGTCTGGCAATAAAGAGCTGTGGAGTTAGCGCAAAGGCATGTAGTTCAAATCCACTAGTTGTTCTGTGGCAGAAAGATGGGCAATCTCTTCTATGTAGTTTACTGCCTCTGAAAACCCACTAGAGAGAGGGTCAGCTGAGTTAGGTCTGACTTGATAGTACATATCAACAATCCAATCTCCTGAAACACTACTGAATCCTATTCCAAAGAACAAAACAACCCAATCACCAAGTCAGTTCTGACTCTTGTCAGGTTTCTGAAGCTATTATTCTTTATGGGAAGGGAAAGCCCATCTGTCTCCCACAGAGCACTTAGTGGGTTTGAACCACTGACCTTTGAGCTTGCTTACCAAGACAATGCACTATGCCACCAAGGCTTGTTTGAATCCCAATAGGGACAAGGCATTTATTTACCTCCTAAAAAAGCAGCTCCCTCCCACTGGAGGCAATTTCAGTGTTATCCTCTATCAGTACAAGAGAAATGTTCTTCCTAAGGATGCTTCAATCATGGAATAAAATAATGCACATAAAAGCAGCTGGTATGTGCTAAGCACTCATTAAATTTTGGCAGAATCTGGGAATTCTTCATTTATTCAATAAATATTAAGTGAACGCCTACCATATGCCAATCAGTATTCTAAGCATTGGGGAAAAGGCCTGAGCAGAAAAAAAAAAATTATATAATCATCTTGTGTTCTCTCTGAACTTCCCCACTGGCCCACATCAACCGTCTGAACATCCTCGGCAGCTTCTATAAGTGAAAAGCCTCCTGGCATCTTGCATTAAATAGCTATGATGGACTCAATTTTCACCACTCCTTTTCTCTAAGCTGAAGCCCTAGTGGTTCAGTGGTTAAGCACCTCACTACTGACTGAATGGTGGTTGAATCAACAGTTCAAAGGGAGAAAGATGGGGCTCAGGTTCTACAAAGAAAACCTAAGGGACCGTTTTACTCTGCCCCGAGGGTCGCTACGGATCAGAATCAACTCCATGGCAACGGGATTTGTTTTGTTTACTCTGTGCTTGACAGCTTCAATTCTTTCAAAGGAGTAAAACAAGGTTAATAGGGACTGGGAGGAGGTGAGGGCCAGGCTCTCCTGTCAAAAAAAAGGAAGTAAGAAGACCCTCGCAGGCTCCACACAGGTGTGTCACCTGACGCCTCGCCCAGGGATAGTCACCTTCCTCAAACCAGGCACACATTGTCCCTGCGGGCACAGGGGCTACCGGCTCCTGAAGACGGCCTGACTGCAAGAAAGAGGCTGGAAGGGCCGGCTGGGCCTTCACCCCTGTGTAACTCGGCTTTTCTTCTAGGTTGTCTCAGTGAGAATCCCCAGCATCTTTCTCGATGTTTCCAGATTCCCGCCTCCAGCGCCAGGGTTCCTGCGTCCCCAAAGGCCGCCTTCTCAGAGTGGCCTCACCCCAACATCCACTCTTGCCCAATAGCTGCTGCCACCCTCCAGCTCGCCAGGATAGGTTGCGCCCTTCTGTACTCACCTGTGAGCCCATTCCCGGTCCTTCCATCTCCCCTGGTGCCCACGGCGCTGACCACGACTCGGCAAAGTGGCGGCCGCAGCCCGCTCGCCAGCCCGCCAGGGCCGCCTCTACTCCTACTTCCTGCTAGCGGCCCCGCCCCCGCCGATAGGCCCCCGCCTCCATGCCCCGCCCCCGATGTGGCCCCGCCCCCGCACCCGGGTTCGCATGTTCCCTGCGCAGTCAATCCGCTTCGAGAGAACCAATCTCTGCACTACTTTGGTTGAGGGCGGGACTTTCACGCCACCTCCGAAGCTAACAGGACATCCTGAAGCCCCGCCCCCAACTGGTCTTGTGGAAGCACCCCTGCTAGCTTTATGCTAAGAGTGCACCTACCTGACAGTGTCCACATATTACATCTGTGCCCGGGCAAGGATAAAGCTGTTTGTCTTATGTCAGCCCCCATCTATGGAAAGCAAATCTGGATTTGGATGTTTATAAAATGATCATTCAATAGTCTCTTTTTTTAATTTCAAACTCTGAAGTGGAGAAAACACCAGAATTATCTACCTCTTAGAATAGGCAGGAAAATGAAATAAGAAAAAGCCAAAATGGTATAGTTACAGATCATTAAATATTAGCGCTTAAGACATTTGCCACAGTCCATCACAATGAACTTGGGCAAATCACTCACATCATCTAGTGCTGTTGCTCTTCAAAAGACCCAAATTCATTGCTGTTGAATCTGAGCGAGACCCTCCAATTGGGCTAGTTTCTGAAGCTGTATATTGCGCAGAAGATCGCTCATTTTTCTGCTGCGGAGTTGCTGCTGGACTCTCACCTCCAGAAACGCACTGCCTTAATTAATAGTGCAACTCCCGATGGACTTGTTGGATGCTATCAAGCCGTCTATATGTCTCACAACGAGGTTCAGAACAATGGATCTACATCTTGCCTTGTCCTGCACCATATTCATGCTCTCTAATATACCGGAGCTCGTTGTTACAGTCCCTGTGTCAGTCCATCTTGTTGGAATGTTGCTGCTGCGTGCAATGAGTCGGAACTGACTCAGAGCTGACCCTCCAGTAGGTTTTCAGAGGCAGTAAATCTCAGGGGAGGAGATTGTTCATCTTTCTCCAGTGAAGCAGCTGGTGTATTCAAACTCTGTGTCTTTGGGATTGCAATGCAGCTCCTTACGGCTAGGCCTTCAGAGCTCCCTATATTGTTGAAGGATGCCACCATATATAGCGAGTGCTTTGGTCATGAGTGCAGTGGTCAAGAGTTCCTCCCACCCTTCCCCAAATCTCTACCTGGCAAATAGCAGGCCCACATTTCTTAATGGGTTGCAGTCAAGGAATTGGTGTCTAAGACTCTGTTCTGATGCATAGTCAATAAACCTTGGATAAGGCATGGCTTCTGCCTTTTGGGTAATAGCAGTGGGGCAGTGGACTTCTGCTACCTCAGCTTCCAGAAAATCTTGGAGTTTTTCTGTTTTCTTAATGCTGTCTTTGCAGTTAGCTTGTTTGAAAAAGAATAGAAAGCATTACAACTCTGTGTGCTTGGAATAAGGAAAGGGACCATCTCTGTGAGAGGTGTTAGATGACATGGCTGGATCGCACCAGCCTATCCTGACTTTGGTGAGAGAAAAAAAAGATACTCACCAGTGGGCAATTGGCAGCAACATGATGGACGGTGAAGAGATTGAGATTGTTAACACCTTCATCTTGGTTAGCTCTATAATCAACACTCTTGGTACTGGCAGCCGGGAAATCAAAAGATTAATTACATTGGGAAAAGGGACCTCTCCAGAGAACTGAAGAACAACGATATCAGTCTGGAGACTAAGGTGTGTCTGATCCAGACCATGGTCTTTGCAATTACTTGCTATGTGTCAAAAAGCTGGACAATGACTAAGGATGATAGAATGAGAATGTATGCCTTTGAGCAGTGGAGAGTTGAGTGAGTCGGAGAAAAGTATTGAATATACCATGGACTGCTAGGAGAACAGATAGGTTTGTACTGAAGAGGGTGAAGCTCCAAGGTTGCTCCTTGGAGGTAAGAATTGTGAAGCTCCGTCTGACATACTTTGGGCATATTGCAAGAAGGGACTAGTCCTTGGAAAGGGACATCATGCTTGGGAGGGTGGAGGGACAGGGCAAGAGAAGAAGGCCTTGGATGAGATGGATTGACTCAGTGACTGAGTTAATAGGGGTAGGTGTGTCAGAGATGATGAGGTGGGCTCAAGATAGAGCAAATTTAGAGCTGTTGTACGTGGGGTTGCTATGAGTCATAAGCAACTCAGCAGCACATACCAACAACAACAACAACAACATTTTGACTTTGGCTTGGAGCCTAAGTAGTCCTATTGATTTTTTTTTTTAAAAGAACCATCCTGGGGCCCTGCCCTTGTCCATCCCATGCCTATTTTAGTGCTGTTTCCCACATCCCTGTGTGCTTCTTGAAAGCATTGAGGCTTTTTGAAGAATAGAAAAAGGAAAAAAAAAAAGAGTTGATTTTGACACGTATCAACCCTCTAGGGGAGAGCAGACCTGCTCCACAGCATTTCCAGGCTGTAAATTTTGTGGAAACAGATTGCTACATCTTCCTCTTGTGCTAGGAAGTTTGAGTCACCACCTTTCAGTCAGCAGTCAAGTACTTAACCGCTGCCCAACTAGGGCTTCTTACACTTCTCTTATTCTAGAGGGGAAATAATACTATACCATAAAAAGTTGTCAATGATTTCATCTCACTTGGATCCACTCTCAACATTCTTGGTACCAACAGTCAAGAAATCAAAAAGACATGTTGCATTGAAAAAAAAAATCTGTCAAGGAACTCTACAACGTGTATCCAAGCAACAAAGTCAGTTTAAAGACTAAGGTGCATCTGATCCAAGCCATAGTATTTTTTTTAGGTCTTTTGCTCAATATTTTTAATAACCCTTAGAAAAACCAATTCTTCACAGTGGCAGATAGATGTTGTTGTTGTTGCTGTTATGTGCCGTCGAGTCGTTTCCGACTCA